ACGATGGTGATGCAACGCCTAGTGCCTAGAACGCCTAATCAGAGTCTAGTCGATTTAATAGGTAGTCTAAGCGTTTTAGAAAGATACATAATATATTAGATATATATAATAAAAATTTTTAAAAAACCATAATTTATAAATAATAAAATTTATATTGTGCTAATATTCATTATTTTATAGCAAAATATATATAATACTATGATTTATATATAAAAAATTATATTATTTTATTATTATAATACCATAATATTTTAGGCGGCAAAAGCGCTAATCGCCACGGATGCCTAGAACGCTTTTTAAAACACTGCTGTTTACTGTCGACCAATGTAATGTCTTCAGACTCAAATGTATGCGTTGTGCTGTATTCTTCTACGATTCTTTTAGTTGTAAGAGGAAGACCATGATATATTCTTACAAATATATATATTGAATTTTAATATTACAAGAAAATAGCTTTTCTGCGTGGAATTTTAGAGTCGAAAATACGCTGACGCTAATTAGCATCGAAGTTGCGTCGATTTTGAAATGAATCTAATTTTTGATGTTATTTCGACGTTAAATAAAATATTTTGACGCTAAATCGACACTAATTAGCATCGATTTAGCATCGAATTGGCATCTATGTTGCATAATGTAGGCAATGCCAAATTAGCAATATTGTATCGAAAAATTGCATTGTCTGAAATCAAAGCTATATTGCATCGAAATTAGCATTGGATATGCAATTTGGTGGATATAACATCAATTCTCATTGATCCGAAAAATGAAAGGTCAAAATACTCTACGATGTTTAAAACAAAGAAAATTCTAATCACGAGTTTAATTATGAAGGGAAAGAAATTACCAATAACGAGGAAAAATATTACAATGGTTTGAAAGATGAATCATAATTGCTTGTATAATATGGATTTATGAGGATGTGTGCAAATTAGCGAAATAAATCATGTTCCACCAATATCTTACATATAACTATAACAAATTCTTAAAAATAATATCCTCTATATATTAATCGAGGAGACACTAATTGAAAAAAATCATGTGTCACTCAATGAGGATTTAAAGAGACACATCAATTAGGTTAACCAATCAAATATTCAAATTAATTTTATATGTCATGTTGGAAATCTCTACATATTTACATTAATTTTTAAAAATTAACTCACAAATACATATGTTACTAATTTAAATCCAATTAAAATATAACATTTTAATAGTTTAAACGTTATATAACATAATTTTTAATGAAAAATCATTTACCGATGTCAATTACATTATAAAAATTGTATTTATGTCCATTTGGATACCTGATTGATCATACTTTTTTTTTATTTATCGTTTATTTGTATTCATATTACTCTAATTAAAATTGCGCTTTTGTTATAAACATACCACTTTACAAATCATACATTAATGCTTGAATTTCAAAGATCATCATTTTCACTTTTTATTATCTTTGATTTTTTATTTAAGAAGATTTGCATACTAATGCAATATTTTTTTGAGTTTAGTGAGTTCAAATAACTTTGAGAGAACCCATAATCTCAGCGTATTCGATTTACATTAAAACTCTTGCATTCAATGTAAGTGTCATGCATATTAAAATTTGTAAGGTAAAATATATGTATGTATAGGAGATATACCATTTGATCTTTGTTGTTCTAATTTCTTGCATATATTATACAAATTTCTATAATTTTATTTCAAATATTGTAATCCCGCGTTTGACGTGGCACAAAAATCTAGTAACTATATATATATGCTTTTAAGTTAACAAAGTTTTATAAATTTTAACAAACTAGGTTATTACGTTAAAGAATCAGATTGTATAATGTATGAAAACTTTCAATTATTACATAATTGAAGCAAAGTCCCACAAAAATTGTAATTCAAGATAACATCAATTTAGCATTAAACTAATAATAAATCGATTTTAATTCGTTGCAATACATCGCAACCCTATACCATAAATGAAAAATCTATGATTTTAGCATCGAATTAGCGTCGAATTCGACGCTAATTCGATCCGAAGTTAAAAAAAAAATCCATTTAAGGTATAAGGTATATACATTCGCGTATATACATCATTTACTAATATTAGCGTTGAACTAATATTCAAACTTTGTTGTGTTTAGGTAAACCTCATATACAAGTATAGTTGGG